TTATTTATGTAACTAGTTATGTTGTTGTTTATTAATAATTAACATAACTATGTGTTTATATATAAAAGTAACAATAGGAAAAGGAGAGGGGGGTGGGAAGAGAGAATGGATAAAACAAAAGAATCATTTATTTTTTATTTTTTTTTAAAAAGAATTTCTGTGTATTTACTTATTTCAATAGTCGATAATAAGAAAAACTACGGATAACTGTGTATGATGCATTTTGTACCGATTGTCATAGAAAAGAAACTATATGATGTATATTTATGTATAGATTTCGAGAATGAACAAAAAAACTGATGTCATAATGTTTACTGTCAACAAGAGAAGTGACTGAAAAGTATTTTATAAACAATCTTATAATAATTTCTACGAATATTCGTCAAGATTGGAACGAATAGTTTGACAGAAATTGGGCCCTGAGTACTTTTATTTATTTATTCCTTCATATATCACACATCAACACAGAACATCAATAATTAATCTCACACATACATACATACCTACACACTCATACACATACAGTTTGTTATTCAGTTAATTATTTCCATGTAGTTAAAATTTTTCACATGAATTGTAGTTAACTGACTCATATTATCCTGTTTTACAAAAATCAACATCCAAATTTGATTGGTGTAACACAGTATAGTTATGATTGTTAAAAAGCTATATATTTCTTTGGTGATTTTGATTATTACCCTGAAGAAGTCCAGACAAGTCAGCGGGACGAAAAGTCGGAGTTATTTAAATTTCAATCGCTGAGATTATTTCAAATAGAATTTTCACATATAATCTTATAATACGACTAATAATAAAGATACATATTTGTAAGATGCATAAGAAAACTTTATATTCAGTAAAGTGGTTAAGTCAGTTATTATTCATTGATTTTAAATGATTGTGTAGTAATAATAATTACAATCTAATTTGATTTGAAATATGTGAATCACTGGACTTTAGTTTATCAATCATTTACTTAATGCTTGATTAACAAGTTAATAATTTCAGGTCTTACATAAGAGTATTTCAAATTTCCACTAACTTCGTAAACAATATGGTGTGTATGATGCACTACTAAACTTATACATTTACCAGTCAAGTATATATAAATATAAATATATATAAGCTCTTTCTGTCAATGATTCGAGTGTAGGACTAACATAAATGTAGGCAAAATAAATTCAATCATATTATTTTATATTGATTATTGCCCATATCTGTCTGAGTCAGGGTAATTGAATCAAATAAACTGGGTTACTCATAAGATAACTCCTCATTCTGACTAATTGAAGTTCATATTATTTGCCGCATGAAATTTGCTTTATGCCATATGCTAGAATTAATAATTTCAAAGAGAAAATTATACTGTTTGATGCAAACAATCATACAAACAATTGAAATGAGGATTTACGTTTGACTAAATTTCTGTTCTAAAATAAAATGAAACGTATCTATAATTTTTGATAATACAGAAGACAGCATGAAATTTCAATTTGCACGTACAGTAATTGCATGATAATCGCTAAAATAACTTTGTATACAATTCAATCTTTCGCTTTAAGAGCAAATTAAACTGCTGAACCAAATTTCTTAAAAGCAATAAGACATTTCTCAGCATATTAAGTATAACTATCAGAATGCTTCATTGAAGTATTTGAAATAAATAAAGAATTTTATTTGTTACTAGTCTAAGAAGTACTTGCTTTTTATTTCAGGGATTACCATCGACATAATCACTACTTTGAAGTTACCGAAAAATTGAGTCAGTTAACTTATATGTAAATAATTGAATTAGGTATCTTTTCAAAAATTTGTCTAGGATCCATCTAATTCTATACTGAGTATTCAACTAAATCAATATAATTCCCATTTCACTTTATCATTTAATTAGGGTGATAAATATATACTTGATTAATTTCAAATAAAAATCATATGTATGATTCAAATAGTAGATAACTATATTTAGTAAATATTCCTTCAGATATTTAGAATAAGTTACTGAGAATAAAAAACAACCAGTGTATTGTAGATTCCAGGTAGAAATGAAGAAAAAAGACTGACAATCAATCGATACATTTATACATATATATTATGATGATTAATTGAACTCAAGTCAATTACTTAATCATCATTCAATCAAGCTGTCTATAGATTGACGGATGTCTAACAAAATTCAATTTCAATAGTTGAAATCATGAGTCAATTGAAGTTAGACCACCATGAAAAACCTGGAAGCACTGGTGGTCTAGCTTCAATTGACTCATGATTTCAACTATTGAAATTTATAAAATCTCCAAAAAACCCCTTTTGATAAAATTCAATTTATTCAAAAGAAATTAAACACTGAACTGAAAAGTAAAAGTGTCCATAGTTTTAATAGAAATAATTTAAATGGGGAGGTTTGAAATATATTTCTTAGTTATAACTATTATTTGCTAGTCCATTCAACCGAGTGTATCTACACATACCAAGATTTGAATTCAATATCTTTCGTTTCAGTTGTCAAACGGATTATAAACCAAGATATTGGGTCAAGAATGCCACTAACTTTACAAATTCAGTTGACATGGAGAAGTAAACATTGCTTCGTTAAGTCAACTCTAATATTTTATTTTGAAATATAGTGATTAGTTCTCAGTGACTTTGGCTGATTTCTAGGGAAACTGCAGATCATATCTATTTTTATTAGTACGGGGGGTCGAACAATTTTAATGTCTAACTTCAGACGATCCACGATATTGCACAACCCTCATCCACTGTTTGCAGTGAACAGCTGTTCCACACATGACACAAATTAAGCTCCACTGGTCACGGTATCTCATTCGATCTCTAGGACATACCTCTTCAGGCTAGTTACTAGTGAGCACATGATTATCATTAGTTTAGGGGAGTTTGATAGACTGTAGAATGTCCACGGTTTAAATCAAGAACTACTCTTAGCAAGACCATCCATATGGCCGTCTAGTGTTTCCAGATTCTCAATGGTGGTCTAGCTGGGATGAGTTCGTGATTTAATAACTGTGAACATCGTATTTCTGATGAAACATTTAACAATTTCATTAAATTAGCATAAGCTGGCTTTAATGAATGGTTTTGAAGATGATTTTTAGCTGAACTAATAAATTTCCAAGAATATACAACTACAATCTTTTCATGGATAATAACTATCAGTATCAAGTTTAGATGAATACGTGTTTTTAAACAACTAATTAATCGATGACAACAAATATATTGCATGATTTACGTTCACCTTATTCCAAGTTCAATGTTTCGTTTTATATGTATATGTATATATATTTGGAAGCGGTACATTAATACTACTTAGATTCAAACAGTAATGAATTGAATTATCAAAAAATGGTATGGTTAATTAATTATCTGATGACAACTCATTAATAGATTCTTACTTTTATTTCCCTGCAACGAGGAACTATAACTTGCTAATACTGGTACCATACAAAGAAAAACACGACGCTGCATTGCTGCTATATTTCTGTCAACTTATAAAGTACTTCCAAAGAGACCTTATTAAGGATTATTTGCCAAATTTGAATCATTCGCTTATTCGATTTGTCACAATGAATACTAACCAGAAAGTGCACCAAAACAGTCATTATAGTCTATTCTGTAGATAAAACACGATCAGAATTATGCAGAAATATATATATATATATATATATATATATATATATATTTCCCTTTCTTTTTTTTGGTATATGTGCTGGTTTATTTAAAGGCATAAAGCTAATAGGAAATCTTAGTACACCGAAGTTTACCTTCCAGCAAACAATGTCATCAGTGGGCTTTTTGTTAGACATAACTAAACATGTGTAAATGTGAATTTTGTTCTGTGAGGAATTATTATCTCTAATTCTGTTGTGTACTTATCCAATATTTGGCCTATGATATTTTTATATTACCTGATTGTAAGTTTATATTTGATTCATTAGCTGTTGACATATACTTAAACGTCTTGTATTACATATGACCTAATTATGTACAGATTGAGATTTCCTGTTTGTGGTGTGTTATGGTCTTATAATTGATCTCTAATATCAAGTGAATTTTTTGAGTCACTATAATAGAAGGTAAGCCGAATTTCTGTTATCGTATCCTGATTGAGCGTTAAAGGATGAAAACAGTGATATGGAACAATAGGCGTTGGAATATCCGGTTGTTGTTGGTTGTGGTCCTTGATGTTATTGATCAGGCGGAAGTTAATTATATTGTTGGTGTAAGATAAACTTATCATTAGGGGACTCTATAATCTAGTGATCCTATTAAATGGGTATATATAAGTTGAATTTATAATAATATTTACCTGAAGAACTTATATTTGATACAGTATTTTATTGTAAATGTATATCCAAAATATATTCCAAACTTTAATATCAAAGTTATTCAGTACACTCTGGTTTTTAAGTTAATCTATTTTAAGATGAATTATAAATAAACGCCCAGAATAATGTATAATAAATTGGTTTTCATACTACTATTATTATTACTATGTCTTTTCATCGTATGATTTAATGAATAAACTTGAGCATATTCAGTTGAAATATAATTTGATGGATGACTTGAAGATATTTCAAAAAGCGTACACAATGAGTCTTCTGAATAAACAACATGTACTCTTGATACGGCTAAAATCCGCAGGTTAAAACTACAAGATGAGTTTTGCTTTAAAGAAAAATAATTGGAATAATTAAAATAAACGAATATCTTTCAATGATTTCTGAATTATTTAAAAAAGCAATCGAACACTAACTTATTGCTTTTTAGTGTTTCTCTAAGATCTTAGGTAAATTCAACAAGTTTATGACTTACTTTATAAGGTAAATTACATTCAAAAATATTGTTTACTGTTCAGTATTTATTATGTTCCATTACCCAGTGTTTAAGAAAATTCTTCAGTTGATTTTGTAATAAAACTTAATTTCATAAACACTGATAAGTCATTTACACACACAAAAGAGGAAAGTTATAATAACCAAACTTACGTAGATAAAATATTTGGTTTTCTATGTCTTTCTAATAATCCAGTGTCTATAATTAATATACGATAACCGGGATATTGAATAATAACTGATTTGCCTTCATATTTATTGTTCTCATCATCAAGTACAGTTACATCATTTGTTTTTATTACATTGAAGGTAGAAAAAGCCATTATGTTTTCTCAGATTGTTTTACTATTAAATTTACGTAATAAGGACTTTCATGATAAGTTGAAAAAACAAACGAAATAATTGATCATGTACATAAGGAATGCTTAGTTTTAGGGGAAAAAATTATGTTAAAAATATCACGTGATGCCAAGACCAATAAATGTAAACAACTGCACCATAATCCAATGCCAAATTAATGAATATCAGTTAGATTTACTAACTAAAAACTAAATTTTACCTAATCAGCTTTGAAATAATCCTGATTGGTTAAATGTCAACCAATCAGATTGTTAATCTCAATGAAAATATCTAGACACAGACCAAATATAATCTAGACTATGTATTACAGATATTTTATACATTTGATTGATTGATGCCGAAAAAATAATAATTAAGATATTCTAAAGGTTGTAGGAGAAAATTCTACAAAATGATTATGATAAAAATAGGATCCAAATGAACTATACTGATAAATGTGTGAAGAAAGGTAAATATATCTAGTTAACAATAATATGAAGAATGTTTGAAATCATATAATCAAGGAAAGTATTTGTTTTTAAATAGTATTGTTAAATCTATCGAAGCGTCCAGGTCACCTGATTGAGATACGCGCGAAACCGTAGTTCCAAAACAACGATTTGTCCACAATAGCTGTTCTTTATTGAATAATACACAAAATTTAGTTACAAACTTCAACTTGTGGGGTGTCTGGGGCGTTTAAACGCGTCCTTCAAGTATGAAAATAAAAAGGCTTTTTGTAACAGTAATATAAAGAATAATTATAACATACGGTAGTACAAAAGACAGCTGATAGATGTATCCAAATTTGATAACAGTTTATGAACAACCGAAACCCGAACCAAGAGTAAAACAGTATGGAAACTGTTGCGTTTAAACAAATGCACAAAACTGTGGATAACCGCTACAACGATCAAGGTACAGTAATTATAATGATAAATGCAATGATAAGTACAATAAACGTTATAAGTAGATGTGAACATTTACAACTTGCGTTACAACATATGTGTAAAAATTGTTGGGAATACAACTGCTTGATAAATGTAAATAAGTAGCATAAAACAATATACAAAGGAGTGAAAAGGGAGCGAGTAGAAACAATGTAAGACAAACTTAACAAGTATGTATTGTAATTAAACCAAAAATATTGTTGAAATAAAGATTATTCATTTTTTATTTTTAAATAGATCACTTTTATTCATTTTCTTTGGATCAGATTCGATTGATTTTTCTTGGTAACTACTCTTTCTTTTTATCGATTTTTCTATGCTATCATAGACTGTAGCAAACAGAAGAATCTAAGATTAATCGTTTCAGGGTGTTTAGTTTAGAAGTTCATCCTTGATTATACTGTTAGTTATTATTTAGAAATATTAATATTATTATTTGTTACCATACATCCTTTCTTTATCCGATATTTTATTACATAATTTACTTGTTCATTATTTATTATATATTAAATGATAAAACCTTATTGATTCAGTCCGTTTTTGACTGGTAATTATAATTCGATAAAATTCTCGTGATGTTAGTCTTCATAAAAGTTCTATTTATCTCAATCCATAAGATGTTATATATCAATAAAAATCTCAACTCAAAACTAAATTAATTAAAGTTGTAAATACACATATATGGAATTTCATTTGATTAAACGGCATTTTTATCGCAAACTTATCAGCCAATCGAGTCAACTTATTAGCTTAACCCAAATATGACTTCATGTAAATCATTTAAAACATTCTGAATAATGCAACATGTAGATATTCCAGATAATAAGGTGAGCTGGTTTGATTTTACATGTTCTTCATCAGTTGTGCATACTGAAATAAAATTTTCAGGGATAAACATTTTACATGGAATTGGAGATCACAGTCGAATGAAACTTCTCAGAAGGAAATATCTCTTCGTTTAGTCTATTATTCAAATTTCATGGTTGTTTCATAACACCTACAGGTTAGGAAGAATGAAGATATATATAAATATCCATAGAACAGTTCTCATAACTAATTCAACAATACGTATTTGGATGTATCATACATCCTTAATATCTAAGTGGTTAATTTTTTACCCAACGCATGAATTGACGCGGATTTTATTATATAGGAGATCATTGATTTATTGCAGTCACACGCACTTTACTTTGCTTTCAAGCATCTAACACTAAACATAAATTACGGTTTTAATTTTTTTCAGTAGCTTCATATAAATTTTTTTTGTTTCAATGAACAACGCGAGTTACTAAAGTTTTAATAAACCATAAGAATATCATGACAAATCATCTGATCTATGACTGTGGAATATTTCACCGAAAAAAATTCTATGAAAATAGAACTGTAGATGTACAATGATTCACACTGATTGAAATAGACTATTCAATAGCATTATTCAAATCGTATTCAATCCAACCGTTAATGAATAAAATCTTACACTTTATCCATTCATAGCGTTAAGCTGTCATATTTAATTTAGCCACTTCTTACTAATACTTAAATAGGTATCAATGCCAAGGTTGGATATGATAGTTTCAAATAAATTGAACATTAGGTCAAAAGTTAATAATAAATATACATTTTCTGTTACATTCCAATAACTTGACAAAATCGTATTCCTGTTGTTTCGTGACTTAATGTAAGCCACTTCTTCAGAGTAAACAAATAACTGAATTAAATTAACACAAGTTTAAACTGTCTTATATTAAGTCACGAAACATCAGAAATACAATTTTCTGCTAATTGAGATGTAACAGATAGATCTATGTTTATTAATAATACTTAAATAGATTGAATATAAATGAAATATAATATGATCAACGGTATACTACAGTTGACAAATAAACAAATATACTAGAATATTGTTTATGGTTTGATAAGTTTTAAAATTCGATACTGTTTTCTTCTTGATTTTCATCAATTTAAATTATTATTAGGATTTTGTTGATTACTTTATTTTGAGCAAAGTTTTCAAATTTTTTTAAAAATAATTTGATTGGTTGTAATCAACAAATAATTCCCAAATTTAGAATATTAACCAATAAGAAGGAGATCATGATATCCCTTATATTTTATCTAATACTCAAAATAGAATTAATTAACTGATATATATTTTTTTATCAGTATGGGGGTTGTGGAGATTATTAATCTTCTTATTGAGATCATGAACCGATTGATGTTAGACCACCATTGAAAACCTGGAAGCACTGGACGGCCGTTTCGTCCTATTGTGGAACTCTTCGGCAGCGCGCAACCAGGATCCTGCTCGCAGGATTCGAACCCGGAGCCTTCAGACTCGCGCATGAACGCTTAACCTACTGGATCACTGAGCCGTCATCTTATGGTGTTAATGTCTAGACCATCTTCCATTGTCTGAGGTAGATGCCTGTCTCTACCCGACACGGATTAGCTCCACTAGTCACGGCTTCTCACTAGAACTCCGAGAATTCCCTAACGAAGCTAGTCACTAGTGAGCACACGATAATTATCAGTATAGGGGTTATGAAGCAGATATCATAAGTAAGCTAGATTCTGTATGTGTGTGTATGTGTTTACATGATGGAAACAGAATAAATCCAGGAATATGTTCAGTCATTAGAAAAAAAGAAATATTCATTAGTTAATGATGGACAGTCGCTAGCAGTGGAATCAAGCACACGTGTCTCGTCCTATTTAGGACTCGTTAGATGGATGTACCTACATCTCAAAGTTGGTGTTCACTCCGGGACTCTAACTCAGTACCGTTCGCTACAAATGCCATCGCGTTATCCACTTAGCTACTGAATCCTGATAGCTAGTTGCTTGTGCAATGGAGTGAAGTTTAAATTCACTTGGTAGAGCTTACTTGAATCTTCCCGTTGATGTTTAGGTCTGAAATTGACCAGCCTCTTATTAGTAATATGTGCACACTGCGTGTATTGCCTCGATATTGCCTTAATTTACAAGCATTATAATGCTTGTACATTTTTATTCTTACCCAACAAACACGTCTTCAGTTTTCTTCTGTCTGCTGATTTGTGACTGTGGGGTTCTGTACGTTCGAGTGTTTTAGTTGTATGCCGAAATCTGCGTCAATCATGTACCAAACATAACATTAGGGCTTGGCAATAATTTAATTTCACAAATTCAATATTATCAAACGTATGAATATATTTCAGTCACAAAGTAGTTTTTGTCACACACAAATCACAGTTAGAAAATTATGTAATAAACCTCAACTTTTTTTCTACAAAATGAAACTACTTGATAAATTAAGGCATTTTGAGAAATAACCATTGACAAGATGAATATCAGTGATTTGAGAGATAACTTAGTCAATAGTATTAAACATTTGAAATACAATCTTCATAGACAAAGTGTTAAGAATGAGGTTGAATAAGATTAAAGATTTATGAAAGATATTATCTTAAAAAATCTATAAAGAAACTCGATTTTATCAAAAGATTACTAATCATTAAGTATAGAGAAAACACACACTGAAATAAAACAAAGCTTCTTTCCTAAAGCTACATTTAAATGTAGTATCTCAAACAAGCTCGCATCTATTCTAGTCACGATAATTCACGTGAATCCATTTTATTTATTACACTTTGTTGGATTGTTATAAATTCATAAAGAAGTATTTATTTCAATAGTCGAGATCATGAGTCGGTTGAAGCTAGATTACCATAGAAAACCTCGAAGTACTGGACGGCCATTTTGTCCTATTGTGGGACTCCTCAGCAGTGAGCATCCACGACCCCGCCTCGCGAGATTCGAACACAGGACCTATCAGTCTCGCGCGTAAACGCTTAACCTCTAGACCGCTGAGCCGGCATCCACTTGTGTTAATGTCTAACTTCAACTAATCCACCATTGTCATCAGTGAGTTACTATCTCACAACGAACTCGATTGAACTCCACTGATCACTGTTTCTCACTAGAACTACAGGAAATACCTCTTGAAGCCAGTCACTAGTGAGGTGATTAGTATCAGAAGGTTTTTTTTAACTAAT